TTTGGTGTGGATGTGAGCGAAGTATTGCTTCATATTATCGCTGAACTTATCGCAACACTTACACCAATGCGGACCCGAATCGAAGTAATGGAAGCGACTGTTCTTCTCTTCTTCTTCGTCGTCATCAATGGTTATCACTTCCGCGTCTTTACCTGATTTTGGGCTCTTCTGCGGCGCCTTCTTGTCGGCACTAGTCTTAGGCTTATCCTTCTGTTTGGGCTCTATTTTCGATATATCGCCCGTTGACTTGATTTTATCCAAAAAGTGTTTTGCCTTCAAGTCGTTTAAATGTGAATGAAATGTGTGTAACAATGAGAGTGACATTAAACTTACATTTGCTTTCGACTTCTGGATCTTATCGATGAGTTCCTTATTTTTCAATATCTTCCCATTTATTGATTCAATTTCTGTTTGCAATTCTTTAATAGATTTGTCCAATTGTTTGTAGGCATAGCTATCGGTTCCCCCATCTCTGGCCACAATCAGGTTCTGGTTCTCCACTTTCTGCTCATATGATTTGGTGGCTCTACTCAACTCGGCTCTCAATTTAGTCCTTTCCTACACCACGTGAGACAAAACAAACAGTTAAAGCATTTACCAAATTATACAAACATTTAATACATACGGCAAGTAAGAGGTCGTAAGGATTAATCAATTTGTCGTCTTTTTTCTCATTTCCTCTTTTGGCCGAAGACTGAGCGCCGGGACTCCTAACGATCGGAACCTTTTTAAGGTTAGGATTTGTGCCCTTTCGTGGACTTAGTTTGGGCGCCACAGGGGGACGACTCTTAGGGATAATCTGCTGATTCATAATCGGTTGATACATTGCATCCATTGATGGCATATATGGAGGGGCGGGTGCGCCCATAAAAGGCATTTCAAGTCCTTTTAAACAAAATCATATTATTTACGGTTAATATTGACAAATCAAAGCAAACACTGACCTCCCATTGGCATCATAGGCGTCATTGGATTCATGACTGCTTGAAAGCCATGCATTGGATTCATATGTCTATCCGGTGAACGTGAATACCGGCGCCGTTCAGGTGTACGACTTCGGCGTCTTCTGCTACCACTTCGACTACGACTACCACTTCTTGAGCGCCGATACCTCTCACGACTCCGACTCCGACTCCGACGACGGCTTCTAAAGCGCGGAGATATAGACCTCCGACGAGGGCTTATAGACCGTCGGCGCGGGCTATACGACGGACTCCTTTTGCGCATTCGTTTGGGACTCGTTTCGGGAGATATTCTTCGAGGGTATCCGAAATCATCGACGGGTTGCCTATCAGGTGACCTAAGTATGCCGGCCTCTATAGCAGCCATTTGTTGGATCCGCACTCTCTCCAGTTCCAGTGGGTTGTCTGGAGTGGGACTGGGATTCCGGAGTTGTCTATACTTTCGTTTATAGGTCTCCTCCTCTTCTGCCCAATCATTTTGACGCTTCTGTTCGTCGACTGAATTCAAACACAAAAGTCTATCAAAAAGTTATAAATAATACCAAAAAACTTTAGGCATTACATGAATTGACGCCAACTCTTGGTGTCCAACGAGTGTCTGGTATGGGATCTGAAGAGCGCTGACTTTTACCCATATTTTCCATCTCTTG